ACAGATTGATCCACCGCATCTTCACCTCCTAATCACGTGCATATGACTTGCCAGGTCGGATGCGGAATTGCATGACAGACAAATAATGTGCTCGCCGCAACCTTGATGAAGTCACACCGCTGCCCCTAATTCCTGTGCACCATCATGTGCTTTTTCAGTCCGGGGCGGGTTTTGCATATCTTGTCACACATCGTGCAGGCGGTGACACTGTGTCTGGGAAATCTCAAGGGCGATTTGAAAGAAGAAAGGCGGTGACAGAAATCGCATGTCCATCCATTGATACCCTCGTCGAGTCCGTGGTTATCACCCATTCGAAGTAGTCGCTTCAGACGTTTCTGCTCCAGACATGCTTCGAAGAGACGACACCCGTCTCTTGTTTGTCTTCTCTATCCAGTTATATAGAGGGTCATCTCAACCCAGTTGTTGATGTCAAACGCCAGCTTTTAGTGGTTGTTCTTGATACAGTCCTTGTATCTTTTCATTGGTTTGTGCTGAGAATGCCCTTCGAAACTCACTCTAACACGCACACACCCCGACACACACACGCACGCACACACCCCGACACACACGCGCACACACACACTCCGACACTTACGCCCCCCTATATATATATATATATATATATATATATATATATACTCATACACACAAACACACATGTCACAGTTGGGGAGTGCCTGATAACCGTCCCACTAGCTGATTATGTCTTGTGAATCAAACTTCATTGTTAAAAATATTCGGAAGATGTTGCTAGTTGTCTAAGTCACAATTTATCATGACAGAAGGTATAAGTGTACTTGCCTTGTTCAAACTGTTGAACAATTTAGATAATGCCCACTCTCCCAGAAGGTGTAAATAAGTTCCACTCAGCATAGTTGCAGTATAAATTACAGGTGGGTTCTGTGAGTGTTGAATACATGTCCGCAAACAGGAATTGGCTAATCCTTCTAGCAGAGAGGTGTGCCCATAAAACGAATAGCTGGCCATTATATAATATACATTATAGCACACAGCTTGATATGTTTTGCTAATGAATGAATTCTTTTCATTTAGAGACTCGATGAATTAAATATAATCAAGAATTAAGAAGGCAGGCTGAAAAATACTTTTCATTATTTCTCTCCTCATAATTATGGACAGTAAATTTTGAAAATTTAATTTATGTTTTCAATGACATGGGTTATCATATTGTGAGACATTTATACAAAATGATTGACTATTGTCTTTCATTTCCTACTTCAGAAGGAATTTTAGTGAGTTGGTGCATTTCTACAACCTTTATCCTGATTTATTAATACCATTATAACAACACTATCAGAATATTTACTCTCACACTCGATTTCCTGACGACCATTCTCAATTCAAATTGTGACACTATCAATGAGGCATCCATATAAAAGATGATATCACAAGTGCTGTTTATTTTACGGCTGGCGGGTGGGGTTTTTAATTTGGAATTCATAAATGACTGAAGAATAAAAAGCGCAAGTAATAAGTAATAAGCAATCACTAGTTTATCTGTTCCGAACCCCAAATACATTTCTCTGTCAAATCCTAATTCAAACAGGCCCCTGTTCTATCTATTTTTCCTCAGCAACAGTTTGCAGAAGTTCCAACCGTTTGTACGTTAACGATCCGTTGAATGCAAACAAACAAAGCGATTTTTTCATCGGTAGATTCTGTTTAACTTGAAATGGTAAAATCTCTCCTGGATAGCTAGTTGCTTTGTATTGCTCAAAAGATGACAATGGCTCATCGCAATGGAGTCTGTTATCAAAATATGTCAGGTTTGTCTATGAAAAACCAGAATAAAAAATGTATTTTGAGCAACTTTTCTATAAAAGAGTATCCTATTTTCAGGTAATTTTGCAAACATACAACTAGAGCCTCACACAGTTTTCTATCGACCAACCAATGACTTCCCTATCCGTGAAGACCAACTCCTGGGATAGGCTTGCTGCACGTTCACAAGGAAACAAAAATGAAAACAAACGCCAAGTCGAGAAAGGAGTAAAATGGTAATGTCAAACGATGTATACAAGAGGAATTATGTCCGGACATAAATACATTTGAATTCAAGAAGAATGTTAAAAGAAGGAGAAGTATTTATTACTGAATAAGTATAAACAGAATTCAGTACTTTAATTCAGCACTATAATATCATTGACCTACATTACTAATGAAAATAAGAACAAACATATATCAATAAATTGGCTCCAGACTTTGTCGATTGTCGTCGGATAGTAGGTGTGTGTGGCTCCAAGTACATCTTTGCACGTGAACTGTACATTCACATTATGCTTTGAGAGATTTACTTAACTCCGGATTGGATATTTTTATATCGTATTATTATTTTCTCTCCTATGATTCCATATCTCAGGCGCAGTTGTGTCTATCACGTTTTCACGGGTCGGAATAGCCATTGGCATTAAGTCGTTAACGAATACCTCTACCCTCTTTTATAACCCATATTCTGGTTAAACCTGAACCAGAATTCTGTGAAGAACGCTGAATATATTCTGGCATCATCTGAAGGGAACCACATACTACATCTATCTGTGAAGGCATGTTAATATTTCTTGCAGGTAACCAGATGTGTTAAATGCAACTGATAGAAATTCTAGCATTCGGACAGATCAGTTAATATGAATTTATCGAGTTACTCTCACGAGATGACTGCGAAATGCGTTTGAATGCTTTTGGGTTTCATTGAGACGATTTCAGTTAATGAGAATTGTATTAGATTTCCATCTTCCTAAAATGTCCTCGCTTCTTCAGTAATTTGTTCGGGTGAAATAAACTCCTGCGCCTTTTCAAATTTCTCAACGACTACGACATTTGTCGTGAAATGAATCCTCGATAGCTGAATAGCATTATAAATAAAGCCTCAATATCAGAAAATGACAAAGAAGGGTCGATGTGTCGAAGACTAATGTATTTCTTGTAATATGTTTGATTGGCTAGGTCTTACGAAAGGTTTGAGCATCCGTCTACATTCGTCTGATAATATGATGAAGTGCGAGGTAAATACTAAGGAATAATAAGAAAGATGCTTAAATCTTTATTGCCTTTTATTTTCTTCATTCCAGTATTTTGTGAGTTACTCTGAATCAGTGTGACGCAAGGCACACTATCGAACATTCAGTCATCCGTTATACGTTCCTGTATGTCATAGAATACATAAATCATCTTAGATGTGACTGTAAATACACACACACACACACACACACACACACACACACACACACACACACACATATATATATATATATATATAACTATTTATTCAAAATTATAACATAAATGTGTTATAAAATCACTAAAGAATTTAGATTCTACATTAAACACCCTCACTTGATAAGACACTAGAAGTGTTGAAACAAAATGGCTATTTTTGTAGTGATTTTATAACATATTTATGTTATAATTTTCGAATAAATAATTATATTTGCTCTACTCTGTATTGGTCACTCTTTTAAGAATAGTATTTGTTGGTTATTGGAATTTATTCCGTATAAACCAATCCTACAATTGGGTATATATATATATATATATATATATATATATATATATATATATATATATATATGCAACTTCCACGTTTTCACAAATTTAAATACAATGTCAATCGTTATCTTCCGTTCTTCTTCATATTTTATTATCTTCTGCCTTGAATATTAGTTTTTCTCAGATTCTCTAACACTCATTTTCTCGTCCATCCGAGCGATTTTATTGCCTTGCTTGGTGTGAAACGATTAGAGGATATGAATCTTTAATTGTGTATTAATTATCTGTTACTAAAATATGATATTTTCAATAATACCAGATATCATTAACATAATCTGTTGATTAGACAATTTAATATAAATATCATTGTTTTACTTTGTGCTTCTAAAAACAATCCAATTATGAATATATGTTTCTATCACATTTCTGTTTTGGGGACACACGAATTAATGGATTAAAGAGAGCGATTAAGTAAATCCCAAACTACGTTTGATTTGAATATTATCTTAATTGAAGCTGACATGTTTTCCATATTTCTAGTACAAAAACCGCTAGAATTATTTATAGTAGGATTTATATTAAAATTTATATCAGAATTCGCTTAGTAGGTAGAGAGGTAACTAATTTCTACTTTTTGCAACCCAGATTTAGTCTTTGAATTGAAATCTGTGTTTCTTATAATAAAAACGAAAAAGAAAACAAAATGAACGTACTTTTGAATAAAGTGAGGTTTAAGTTTGAAAGTGAGGCTTAATTCGACACGCATTCATTAGTCTTCTTTCATATCTCTGTTGTTCGATGTTTCCCTCGTGCACATGATTCCAGATGAACCTGTCAGCAATGTCTGCAAGGTGTCTGGGTCATAACCAATTGAAAAAAGGAACTAGCCGCTAATTAACGCTGACAAATCCCAGATAATACAATCGTATGTAAATGAACTGTGACTTGCACTACCAAAGTGAACGCAGACGAGTAAACCTGAACTGGTATTCGCACACATGTATGTGCGACGCGAAAAACACATGATATCAGGAAGCCAATCCAACTTTCTCTCTCTACATACACCACTTTCATCTAAAAATAAGAGGGATTAACGTTTTCAAATATGTGGCTTCCCTGATGACACAGAAATAAACCATAACCATTACATTTTTCTACATGTTGTAGTACAATTGTTTCCAGTCGCAGTGTACTAACACTCTTAACCGCAGATTAAAAGTTATTCATTTTTCATGATCCTTTTCATCGTTAGTAACAATAATCGTATAAAGTACCATGTCATCTACCAGGAAACACATAATACATAATAGCGAAGAGATATCCTGACAACTTCATCAATAACTTCAAACTTTTGTTATATCTGTTAATCAATTTCCTATTACAAAAATCAAAATTGAGAATTAATTTTCCATCCAGGAAAGATTTGTTGTGATGACAGGATGTCTGTTTCCACGTGGCCTTGTATAAGAATATAGTTATCCTGATAATATAGCTTGCAGCCATATCCCGTAGAAACATCGGTTCTCGTACAATCACCGAAGTTAAGCAACGTCGAGCCTTCTCAGTACCTAGATGGGGGTTCGCTTGACAATATCAGGTGCTGTAAACTTCCATGTGTGTCTAGTGTGATGTAAAACTCCTTGAAATTGTAACTTGACGCGTCCTATTCCAAATCTAGTCGCGTTCGTTATAATTACTTAAGTGCAAATATCATTGATAAAGGTATGGATTTACATTGTCTCACAAAAAAAAGGGTTAATTAGTACGAATTGTATCACTAAATCATTATTATCTCCAGAAATTCTTAGAATCTAAAAATATGTTCTGGCTTTAAATAAACTGCCGTAAAAATCAATCAGTGAATCCTAATTTCATATGCTGAGTTGGATGATTCGCGTAACACAAGATTCCTTACCACCAAATTATGCATAGTATTTTATTTGCTGTTAAATTAAATAGTGTAAATATCAAATTAGAGGAACTATTGTTGGGAAAGTTCAATGGGATGAACTTGAATATTTTAAGAATTTCGAAACGAATGACTTCAACATAAAAGAAGACTTTATATACGGACCGGTATTTTAAATATTTTTATATAGCTATCAGGAGGGTATTTGTTCGTAAGGAAAAATAAAGAACACGAGATGGAACTGGAAGTCGGTTCTCCCAGTTCCAATTCCAGTCTGGTTCTTTATTTTGAGCCGTTATCTATTATATAGCCGGGACCTCCGTGATAAGAAATGTTGAGAAACAGACATTCTTCAAAAATGTACTATCTTTCAATCGCGTTTGAGAAAGTAACTGACAATGTTTCGTTAAAAAATAGCAATGGCATTATGTTACCTGTTTGTTACGAGAGTCTAGTTTATAACGGTGTGTTTCGTTTGCTGAAGTAAATATTTAAGTGACATCTGTCTATATTTCTTAGATGAGGTATTATATACATTATTTACTTTATTCGGGATTTTGTCGTCATCTTTGTCGCCATATTTATTACAACATTTCGGCCGTTGTACGCTCTGGCATTCTTCAGGTGGTTGGAATGTCGAACTGAACCCTTTATTTCGCTCACTGGGTGTTCCACGTGCCATATTTAACGGATGTCAGTTATCTCCTGTTAATTTTCCCTGGGAAAACAAAAATCTACTCTGGGAACAAGTAATCAGGAGTGCCAGAGAAAAAACCATAATAACAACAAAAATTGCAATATGAGCTTTGGTAAAATCATGATTGATAACAGCAAACAATGCAATATGTGCACTGTTAAAAATAGGTTGCTGAAGACACATGGCATGTGTAACTAGAATAGCGAAATAAAGGGTTCAGTTCGACATTCCAACCACCTGAAGAAGGCCGTAGCGTACAACATCCGAAACGTTGTAATAAATATGGCGACAAATATGAGGACAATAGTCCGAATAATGTAAATAGTGTATTTATCTGGCAGTTTGTTGTCGAGATGTTGTTGTTGTCATAAATGTTATGTTTTTTCAAAGGAGGTAGTAGTGTTTTATATGATGCGACACCTGATTCGCTTGGGACGAAGAAGTCTCCAAAGCGAAAGAGAAACGGGCACGCCTTGTTACGGCAAAAAGAGAAAGTAGTCTTGTACTCATTCCTTTCATACTTATTTAATCAGACACACGTTGCAGATGTTGGGAATAGTCCTAAGTAGACAAGCTGCAGTAGCACCACAGCAGGTTATATTGTTTCATACTTACCATCCACTGTTGGGACTTGCTTCGGCAATTAGTTGGAGATTCGTCTCCAGCTGTGCGGGTCGAACTCTCTGCCTTCTTGCAGAGAGGAAGCCAAACGAGTCTATGCAAAAGGGCAGAGTCTCATCTAGGATGTAGACTGCTACTGATCCCATGTATACGGGGTCTAAGGGGAATTTTTGCCAGAGCGCATGGCCCGGTTTTGCTGCGCCTTAAAAAACGGCTTTGTGCCACATCCTGCCTCGCGGGGAGGTAAGGTAAATAACCTTACCATCCAGTGTATTCACATTTTTTTAAGTACAGGTAAAAATCACTAATTGAATATAGATTTTCAATCTATTTCTCGTCCATATAAATAATTTAGAATTATATTGTGGATATTTTAGCAATTGTCGTTACCTAGGAAATGTTACTGAATAGAATAATCAAACACAGGTCGGTAATGAACGATAATACTTAGGACAAGAACAGTACATATAAGATTCGCCAGCAGCGCGTAGAAGACTCTGCCGTTCGACATAGCCTCGTCCGGGGATCCCCTCTTCATCGAGGCAGAAAGTTTGACTAGCACAGCTGGAAACGAATCTCCAACTGCGGAGCAAGTTACATTATTTACTACTGTATTTCTATGAATGGGGACATACTCATTATCGTCTGTCGGTATGCTACAACAGTAATATTAAAAGAAACACACACACACACACACACACATCTTTAAAAATGATTAATAATTATTATTTGAAAATTCCTTTGGAATGTTGAATGAATTTCTAAAAAGAAAACGTAATTCAGATATTGAGTCTTTTGTAAAAGAAATTTTTAAAACACCCACGTATCTACTTAAATATGAAGATCTACGTACTTACGTACTTAAGCTTGTGGTTTGAGGTAGCGAATGAGTGCACATTTCATTTTATCTACTACTACGGATATTATATCCGGTCATTGGCATCCAAAAGATCAGAGGAAATGTAATAATAATAATAATAATAATAATAATAAGAAGAAGAAGAAGAAGAAGAAGAAGCAGGAGGAGGAAGATGACGAGGAAGAAGTGAAAGAAAAGATGACCGAATATCACAATAAATATATAGACGTAGGTGGCAGTAAGACTAAATACAGAAACAGAAGAATAAAATAGATAACAATATGTAATGAGTAAAGGCTAAAAAATATAAAATGGTGAGGATGAAGGCAAAAAACAGAAGACAATGAATATGATGCTGATGTTTTAGAAGAAGAAGAAAAAGAAGAAGATGATGATGATGATGATGATGATGATGATGAGATGAAGAAGTTACTTGAAGATTGTTAACTGTAATTTATGTTCCTGCTATTATATACATACAATACAAGCATAGGTGTATCTGTAGTAATGTTGATGTTGTTGGGGAATTTCACATTGAGGAGATGCATGATACATTCCCCCAGCTATCTTAATTGTATCAGATCATCTTCAATGATTTTTTTCTACTTGTACACATTTGGTTTTTCTGACTGATTTATTGGCTGATCGGCCACTACTACATATGACTTTAAAATTTTAAAAGTAGTCGGAAAAAAGCGAGAGAATATAACTGCAAATGAAGGCGAGAAAAATGATGCTTGAAACTAAGGAATCTTATGAACAAGGACCTACATGACATGTACACCGGAACCACGCTAATAACTTCGTAGTGACATTTAGGATTTCTCGGTTTTCTGTGAATTGATTTTGATACAACTTTCCGCACCTGGTTTGCACAATATGGCACATGTGCTTTTTTGTTTCATATTCGACAGTTTTTGGATGATCCATGCTAACAACTTTTCCATGAAAATCGCCCATCTAAACATATTTTGGAGAAAATGAAGGATGATGATACATATTAAGTAAACCTTGAGTATATATCAAACAGAAATCCATATTAATATTGATTTATTGACATAATGTTTGGCTATATAATGCGCCATTTCAACAGATACCTTCAAAAAACTTATTACTCATGAAATCTGTCAAATTTTTATCGTAGCGCGTTTCATTGCCTCTACTGCAAGTTTGATGGTCACTACTATTGTCTCTGATGTTGAGATTGTGGCGGCTTTACAACGGGGATTAAAGTCCTACATTGAGAATAAAGTCTGATGTCACATCGCTATGAATATTATGAGAATGTTTTTCCGTCCGAAGACGTAAGAACTGAATAATACTAATAACAATTTATATGTCTGAAAAAAGTGTTCAAATTACTATAAAAGATATATTAACAACATATTCAATAACATTGATGAATTTATTTTCTTATAGAGGTAAAACTCGGATTATAATTTAAATATTAACCATTTTATTCCATATATATTAGGCATATATTATGGCTATTTTATTCGGCACCTAGACACACACAGGCACACATATACACACACTTACACAGGAATATATATATATATATATATATATATATATATATATATATATATATATATATATATACATTGAATGTATTCTAAAATCTAGAAACACGCACACAGTTATCTATCTATCTATCTATCTATCTATCTATCTATCTATCTATCTATCTATTTATATATCTATCTATCCTTCTATATAAATATTGTGGAAATATTTGTACATTTATAACTGTAAGTGTTAAACGGAATACCTACTCAAATACGAGTATTCATTAATATAACGTTTAAATTGAAAGAAGAAATAAAGGATGCTGTACAGAATAATGAAAAACTAATAATGATGTTGTCATATTGTGTAAACCAGCTGGGAAAGTCTTATTAAAATCAATTCACAGAAACCAAGAAATCCCATATATCTATCTATCTCTCCCTCTCTCTCTCTCTCTCTCTCTATATATATATATATATATATATATATATATATATATATATATATATATAATGCATTTTCAAAATCTCTTCTTTGATTCATTACAGATGTATATATATATATAACGTTTGTACAAAACTTTCTTGTAGCTGGAGGAGGAGATATACTCTTGAAAAACAGGTATTCTTATAAACTTCTGTGAAAACCTAAAACACACATCCACCCAAACACACACATATATGCATATAAGCATACACACACACACACACACACACACACACACACACACACACACATATATATATATATATGTTCAAAAGATGTAAAAGTGTAGTTGAACTTCAGTCAGCTTTTTTAAGTTTATTGATCTTCCATCGAACCGTTCTTATGCAAAGGAAATACAATTCTGACAGTCTATGACTGCTAGGTAAAGGCCAAGTTAGGATCCACTGATCACAACTCGAGTTAACTTCAAATGTCGACGAGAAAGGTCAGTCGCTTTTACCTGGATAACCTTTGATTTGAGAAAGTTCTGACGTTGCGAAAACTGTGTGGTCTACAATAAGATGT